AAAAATTGAAAAAAGAGTGGATTGTGAAATTTAAGTTATGTTGGTATTGGGTTAACTAATTAAATTGGGTAAATTCCAATAAAAAAAATTAAATTTGGTAAATAAAAATTAATTGTTAACATATGTACAAAATATATATATAAATAAATTTTTTTTTATACAGATCCCCACGGGGTAGAGGAAATTCCCCGCGAAATTTCACGAGTAAAAAATTACCTCCATCCCTGCCTCATGGGTAAGAATATTCTTAGAATCTCCATCCCCGTGTGGGGATCTCCACGGAGCTCCGCGGGTCGCGGAGAAAATTGCTATCTTTATCTGGGTCGCACACCTGAAAATGGTGGATGAGTCTCCCAATAAAGGCTGTTGCGTACACAAGGTTTCAAACTCGAGACCTTACTTAAACTGAAATAAGCCGCTTACCACTTGATCAAACCCCTCGTTGGTTTCTTTAAATTTTTACTCCTACAATAAAATTCTTACAAAACTTCTCGAGAAACAAAATTGGCACCCCTAAGTGGTGGCTTCTCTAGAGTGATGACTCGTGACGGCTCTGACACAAGCGAAGCCCTTAGAATCTACTGTCTTTCTTATCTGGATCAGCACCTCCGACTTGTCATATGATGTGGCAATTTCATTGAGACACGTCACGAAATGGTTCGATCATCCCAACTGCTGGAATTGATAAAATCTGACGGGTGGGATGCATCCATATCCAATCCTATTGCTGGGTTCTGTTACATTTGAGCCAAATTATTCCAAACCCAAATATATGCGGCTGTATTTGGGCAAATGGATGTGTTTAGTTACATGTTATGGACATGATTTATTGACAACAATTACTTATGACTGATCAACGGTGATGGCAGCACGATACCAATTTTGGTCAAACAACTGGGAAAATCCATTGCTGTTGATCAGAAATACTTACCAAATTAGTCTAATACGAGGTCAATGATGTTGATGATGCTAATAAAAGCTAGATCAACAAGAATTTGACTAAATTGATACCTATTAATTTAAAATTTTTAATTTTAAATTAAAATTAAAGATTTAAACCTTTGTTTCACTAAGGAATTAACCATCAATGTACTAAAAAAATAAAAGCAAGAAAAAATGGTGTGTGCAGGTTAGTGAAGTTGGAAGAAGTCAAGAAAACAAGCACGAGAAAAAATGGTGTGTGCAGGTTATGGAACTAATTTTGTTCATTGCTCTTTCATATTTTTCTTGTTTTCCAATACCACTCTTCTTGTTCAACTGGATATAAAAACTTAATATATAATAACTGAACTCAGATGTTAAAAATGAAATTGTAATTAGTAGTACAAAACAGTATTTTATAGACTTGATATTATATTAGACTATAGAACACAAATCATTATATTAAGAGAAACCTTCTAATAATAAAGAAGAGGCCGTTCATTCGCTGATTGATATTTTTCAATGCATTAGCACCAAATTCTTCACAGTAATATCATAAATAGATATAGAAATGTTTGAAAAAAATTTAATTAAGTGATTTTTTATAACATAAATATCCAAATCTTTTGATTAAGACTTTTGCAGTCCACTACTTTTCTTCCATCTAGTACGTGCTTTTGGTGGTATAGAATCACAATTTATATTGATATGAAATTAATATTGGGTCAGATTTTCACTTTTGCAGATAGCATGACAAACTAGATAAGTGACATGTATTGAAATTTGTCATGTGTTTTAAGGATATAAGGAAATAAAATATAAGAAGTGCTATTATTTGATATAACTTTCATACATTTTCAAGCACTTTATCACACCTTAAAACAAAATTTGCAGCAGGAAGTGCTTATATCCTGCAAAATTTTGTAAGAGTCTTTTATTTACTAGGCAATTGAATTCAAAGGTAGTGTATTTAACCTCCAGGCCTTGGGTTTGGGAGATCCTCTTATTTCCAATTTACCTGGAGAACCTACCTCCTCTGTAATCAAGTTTTGGTTTTTCTTTTTTTTTTTTTCTTAGGAGGTATCTGAATTTTAACCCCCCCCCCTAATCTAGTTTAAGGACTTGGGATTTGCTCAATCCTAGCTAAGTACTTTATCACACCTTATAACAACTTCTACAGCATGAAGTACTTTCATGTATCCCTAAAAATTTTGTTGGTGACTTTTATCTGCGAGACAATAGAATTCAAATGTTAAATTTGATTTGTTCATGCAAAATGGATTGGGCATGATATGCTTGATTCTTCCTGTCAGTACATGGTTCTAGCATTTAATAATCTGAGCCTAAGATTTAATAACTTAGGTCAAGATGTTGATTCCATAAAATAATCTATCAGTTTATATTATGCAAATTACAGGCTTTTTAACATAGAAAGAACATTGAAGAATTGTGGCAGGGCATTTGTAATTAATTTCCTTTTTCACATATTTGAAAATGGGAGGACATGGTGATGATGAAAACAATCCAACCTTAGGCCACATTGTGCCTTGCCTCAGCCGATCGCAAATAGACGTGCAGTAATTCATATAGACAACCACAGTTCTCAGAGCATCAAATTCTAACCAGGAAGGAAATATTCTTTCCATCTCAACCCTACATTATCCCTACAAATTAAAAGATAAATTCAAAACCCATTTTGATGAGTTTAAACAACATAAAGTCTCACCCACAACCACTAAAAGGTGGCCTAAATGCCAGAGAAAACTGATACCCTATCCATGCCCAAAAAAATGCAGAAAGATTCTAGCAATTTTACTATGAATCAAATGATTCAGTGATATTAGCAGTTATACATGTCTCAACACTTGAATGTCAAAAATAATTATTTGTATGATCAAAATAATTACATAGGCAAAAACAAATTTGTATGCTGATTTTTAATCATGTTAGAATACTGCATGTTTCCCTTCAATTATACATGCTAACCAAAATGCACTTTGTGCCATTTATCTGAGGTAAGTTTGTAAGAGAGAAAATTAGTATATTATCTAAGATTATGCAAACACATTATATGGTATTACTTGAAGTCTCAGAAGTAAAACAGGAACAGGAGTATATCAGTATATCAACAGCTAAATTATCCAAATTAAAAAGCTTTAATTAGCTTCCATGTTTCTCTTGTATCCAAACAAACATGTACACTTGTCTCAAGGCAGGGCTATCTAATAAAAATATCAGGCTATATAATTACAAAATAAAGTACACTGGATTTTAGTTACCTTTAAGACAAGCTCGTCATAGCATTGTTCTACATTCACTCAAGTCTTTGCACTGCACTCTATAAAGAGGCATCCATATTCTTGACACCCAACCCTTCCTTTTGGAAATCCGTTTCACTTTCCTGTGAAAGATCACTGATGATTAAATCCCATGCATAAAATAACACTCAAGAATTATTATCCATACAAATAGGTCTGTAAGAAAGTTTCAGATGAACTTGAAATTAAATTGCTAACTGGAGCAAAATGAAACTCAGATACAAACATTGGTCAACCAAACAAAAAATTCAGTAGTTCCTGAATCATACACATTATCAACTTTGTTTCTAACAAGCATCTTAATAGATTTGCAAATGTTTCCCACTGTGTAACATCATATATTATCTCAATA